AGTCTTTAAGGGGTACAGTTGCAGGACTGCGAGCGGACAAGATGGTAGCCGTGCACCCAAGTGCTCCGTCTGTGCAGAGTCATTTCACAGTTGGAGACTTCCATCTTTCCTGGTTTTCTAGGTCCAGTCTTTGGCTCACGGGGACCTTAGAAATGATAGTTCTGAGCGGAGGGGGACTGCAGCTAAGTCTGGACTTAGGGCACCTGTTCTGAGTGGTGGCGGGTGACAGAACAAGGAGCAGTGGTCTCAAGTTGCAGCAAGAGAAGTTCAGGTTGGAAAATGTTTTCGCTAGAAAGGTGGTGAAGCAGCGGCACAGGTTACCCAGGGAGTAGGTGGAACCTTCACCCTTGGCGGTTTTTTAAGGCCTGCCTTGACAAAGCCCTGTCTGGGATGATCTGGTTGGGGCTGGTCCTGCTTTGAGCAGGGGGTTGGACTAGATGTCACCTCGTGAGGTCCCTTCCAACCCTCATTTCCGGTGATTCTGTGAAAAGAAAAGCATGTTTTCCTGGCTGTCGAATGGTAAGAGTAAAATACCCGGGGAACCAGTGCTTACAAAATGCTGTAACGTCAGGGTCTCAACGTTGTTTTCCTCGGCACTGATGGTAACATGCCTGCTCAATGTACAGTTCCAATTCCAGATCACATCGAACTCCTCCTCCTCTCCCTTGGCCTCCTGTAGAGACAGACCGCAGGCACTTCCAGCAGAGCACGCCGTACAATTCGAGAGGCGTACCCACGGTAGGAGTGACCTGCTTCTCAGCGCTCGGACACGGATAGACTGGTCCTGCTTTAAGTAATGAATGTGGGAAGCCCTGTTGTATTGGACACTGAGCAAGGGAGGACTTTGTACAAAAATACTTCTACTTGTTCTTGGCTGGGGGAGAGCACGTGGGGGTTTTTGTGGCTCTTAAAGCGAAAACGCTGCCTCCCCTGCGTGAGCTATGCAGGGGTAAGAAATACTAGTGATTGCACTCTGTACGTGGCACGGAGCGTTGCCAGAGTCTTAGAATTGTCTCCTAGTATTTACAAAGAGGTCTCATACGCTGTAGCCTGTATAACATGTTCTATAAGAGCCGTGATATCTAGGCTTTGACTTTTCAAGCCTCTGTAAAATGCCACCCAGCCTGGCAGTGCTGCGTAAACAGCCAGTGCTCTTAAATGACGAAGATAGTCTCCTGATGCAAAAATGTTTGAGGGGAAGAAAATCTACCGGTGCGTCTAAGTATAGGGCAGTATTGATCTTGCAGCGTCAAGAAACAAGCCTGTAGTAAACATGTCAGCTGGGACGCATGAATGAAAAATGTGCTCACATTAAATGTTCAGCTGTAAGAAGAGTTGGGACGTACTAATATCTGGTTTAGATTGTTCTGCCAATGTGCGTAGTCTCCTAATCTATCCGGGCTGCTAACGTGAGATGGTCGAGTCGTACATTACTGTACAATAGGGACTTGTCTCTTTCCTTTCTGGTGCAGATAACCTTGTTTCCTAGCAGCTCTTGGGCTTTGTCTTAATCAGGAAGCCTACTTAAACTAAACAAAGCCAAGTGTTGTGGGATAGGGTGTGGACACTTAGTAGCTTTGGCCCAGACAGAGTTTGTTGTCACAAACTGCAGACCTGGAAGGTACATTGTTGTGCCATTTTATAGTGTCAGCGTCTGTGGCATTAGCAAAAGGGACTTGCCAGGAGGGAAACGGATTGAAGTGTTATTAATTCATCTTGTAATAGTGCAATAGGGAGTGGGACCCGCACGGTTGTGCTGTGTCCTGCGGCTCGCCTTGTCTTGGGTAGCTATTGAGTGAAGTGGTCTGAAACTATGCTGCAGGCAGTCACGGGGGAACAGTGCTGGGGCTCTCCCAGGCAGAGGCATGCCAGAGTCATTCTGGCCAGGGCACTTGGTCCTCCCGTGCCTCGGGTTTCTGTGCGTTTGTGAGCTGTTGCCGTTGCAAAGAAAGGCCGATCCCAGCAGTGAAGTGACGGGGCCTTCTTGTAGTGCCTGCTTTCCTCCAGCGGACTATCTGATGTGTGGCTTATCTTTTATTTCTAGGATGTGCAGGCCAACCAGCGCCCCGTGCCAGCTTATTCAGTCAATCAGTGTCATCAGCTTTCCCAGCCAGCCTATCACCAGCCTTACTACCATTATCATCAGCATTACCAGCCAGCCTATCACCAGCCTTACTACCATCCTCCGCAGTATCAGGAGCAGCTGCAGCAGAAGTTACCTACCAGGTCTGTAGTGATTTTTCTGTTTGTCATTTCTGAATACAAAGCAGGTGGGCGCGCTGTTGATTTAGGGTAGCACATCCAGCCTTCTTCCTGTTCAGCGTCATGCTAAAGTTTGTATACAACCTTACTTTTGGTTCCAAGCCTATGTTTTAAAAATGCAAACAGTAGTGTGTTAGTGCTCGTGTGTCTTGGAGAAGCGCTTGTTCCTGCTCTGCAGGTATTGTTCTCGGTCCTTTAGAGTAGGTTGGTATTGTGCAGGCAGGAGAGTTTGCCCCGACAAAGCCGATTTGGGAAAGACGCAGACCTCCCTGGAAAGGTTGGAGATGCCAGGGAACTAGGGCAGCCTCCAAATTTGATGCAAGGCTCCAGTGTGGGAGTGGGATTGAGCGTACGGCGGGGGGAGGGAGGAAATACTGAGCACAGGGCCTTGGATGTGGTGGGGAAATAGGAGGCGGAAGAAGGAGGTGTCTTGATGTACATAGAAGGACGGAGAGATGCACACTAATGGTTCCTTGCGTCCCCCTCCTTTATAGGCCGCCTCCACCGCAGCAGGGACAATGCATTCCTTCTCGGCCGGCACCTTTACCTCCCAAGTAGCCTTCGAGTCCTCTGCCCCTCACCCCGAGCACTGAGTTCTCAGCTGAAATTGTATGTTATCCTCGTGCCGAGCAGCCTGTGATTTCCCAGAAAGTCTTCCATCTGCAGCATTGGATAAGGAAAACGAGACTGAATAATACCAAGGACTGCAAAACTTTAAAATACCTCTACCAAAGCTACAGGGACTGAATACGTGAAGCCTGCTTTTAGCCCTGTGTGCGCGTCGTGGCTTTGCAAACTGACGTTGGACGAGCCTGTCGGAAGCTGTTCGGTCTGCATCAAACAATCCTTGACGTGCGGCACTTGGGAGGTCTTTGCTTTCCCCGTTGCTTGAAGAGACGTAATCATGGAGTTTTAATGTGGGTTTTCTTATGTGTTTTCATTTTTGTGTGTCAAATGGAGGAGGAACGATTAGCCGTGCAGGATACAGCTGTCAAAAACGGAACGGAGAAAATCAGGCCAGTTGAGGGAAACCACCTTGGTTTTGCGTGGACTGCATGGTATCCAGTTGTACGCGTCTCAGAGCACAAGTGAAATCAGGTGTTGGTATACTTTCAGAGGAAGATAATTTATACTGTAAACGTGTGTGTGCGCGTGCATGTGTGTATGATTGTTAGCGGCGTCTAACGCTTCACTTTTTAAGCGGCAAAAAATGGATACTTTGGGCTGACTGACACTAAGCTGTAGGGAATTACAGACAGTAAAAACTCAAAGTGTTTTTAGGTAAAAAAAAAAAAATAAATAAATAAAAATCATGTAAGTAGCTAGAGCAGCAACCTCTACTAATTCCCCACTAATATTTTTAGATGGGCTGTAAAAGAACAGGTACGAAAAATGCAGTATTTCTTGGCTCGGGAGAGGGCATGCTCTTTATTTTGTTGTTCAGGCGTATGCAGGAGCCGTGATGAAGACTACAACGTGGGCTGACCGCTGTGTTGCGTTGGGTATGAGACTGCTTGAGATGTCTCGAGCGCTTCCAAGCCTTGCACCCGGTGAACACCATTTTGCACCACCTTTCCCACGGGGATGTTAGTGTCAGTCACGGTCAATCGGACAGCCACCCACCTGCACGTCGTTCGTTTTTGTATTTTCATTTTTAAAAAATGGGTTTTAAAGCTGTATCTGGAAGGAAAAAAAAAAAAAAAAGACCCGTTCAGGCGTCAGTCGAAGTGTGTCAGCGTGCGAGCGGCGGTGAAGCGCAGCCTCGTGGGAGTCGCTGACTCGGTCTGGTGCGGGGGGACGCAGCGAACAGTGCCGGGCAGCAGTGAAACCTGGACAAAAGCAATGCTGAAGCTTTTTCACTTTGGCCACTAAAACACATGTTTTTGTAAACGCCCTCCTAATCTTTGCCAAAAACCCCCCACCCAACCTTTAACACCGTTGTGTATATGCAAATACAAATCTATATAACGGTCACATTTGCAGTAATAAAATACTTGAACGCCTGTGGTGTCAGGGCCGTTGGCGCGGGGGGGGCGGGGCGTCGCGCGGGGCGGTTGGCG